TTCCATTTTCTCTTGGATTTCATTGACCTTCCTTACCATCCATATTTGGAATGCTTTATCCGTCATTGTAATATTTTCATCTTATTTGGTATCATTGCTATAGATGTGGTGTTCTCTTTTGGGGGTGTCTTTTCACTCTGATTTTTTATACTTCTGGAATTCTTTTCCTGAGTCTTTCTCATCTAGGGCAGTTGTCACTTCTAATTTTGGGATTTTATTTTGTTTACATTGACCTTTTCTTATTCCCCCCTCACTCATAAGGGAGTGTATGTTACATATGTTGGATGAGAACTTTGGCTTTTCTTGTGGGTGCTTTGATGGCAATCTAGGTTCTGGATGGATGCCTTGGTTATACATACCTTTAATGTGTTTTTTTTCTCAGTTTCTGGTTGTTTGTAGGCTGTAGCAGTGGCGAGAAATATGTGTCAGCAGATTGCCTGTCTCTCTTTGATAAGGGTAGATGGAAGTCTTTGAGATTATTTCTCTTTCCCCAGCCCCGTGGTCTTCTTATCAGTGTGAATTGTATTGGCATACACAGTGTAATCTCCACAAACTTTCTTTTAAGTTTATTTTTGAGCCAGTTTCAGTTTATGATTCTGTTTTTTTATTTTTATTTTATCTTATTTTATTTTTTTATTTTAGCATATTATGGGGGTACAAGTGTTAAGGTTACTTATATTGCCCATGCCCCTTCCAAGTAAGAGCTTCAAGCACATCCTTCCCCTAAACATTGCACATCTTACTCATTGTGGTTATATATACCCATCCCCTCCTCCCCCTCCCACACTCCTGACACCCGATAAATGTTACTCCTATATGTCCACTTAGGTGTTGATCCATTAATACCAATTTGCTGGTGAGTACATGTGGTGCTTGTTTTTCCATTCTTGAGATACTTCACTTAGTAGAATGGGTTCCAGCTGTATCCAGGAATATACAAGAGGTGCTATATCACCATTGTTTCTTAAAGCTTAGTAGTATTCCATGGTATACATATACCACATTTTATTAATCTACTCATGAATTGATGGGCACTTGGGTTGTTTCCATAGCTTTGCAATTGTGAATTGTGCTGCTATAAACATTCGAGTGCAGGTGTCTTTTTCATAAAGTGACTTTTGATCTTTTGGGTAGATGCCCAGTAGTGGAATTGCTGAATCAAATGGTAGATCTACTTGTATCGCTTTGAGGTATCTCCATATTGCTTTCCACAGAGGTTGAACTAGTTTGCAGTCCCACCAGCAGTGTAGGACTGTCCCTCTCTCTCCACATCCATGCCAGCCTTTGTTGTTTGGGGGCTATGATCCTGTTTTTTAAGTAGAAAACAGATGAAATTTAGGTATTTTTAAAATTAAAACATTTTATCACATTAATGCCCTGTGTTTATTTGAAAGAATAAAATACATTATATAATATCTTAAGACACATTAAGTATTTTTTTATTTCAAAATATTAAGGAGGCATTCATTTTTTGTTACATACATACTTTGTATAATGCTTAAATCTGGACTATTGGTATGTATATCACCGGAATTGTGTTCATTGTATTCAGTAGGTAAGGTTTTATCCCACACCACACATTGCACCACTCCCCTCTTCTTGGTTTTCATTGTCCTCTATATCTTTGTTCCCATATGTACTCATTATTTAGAACATATAGTGTTTCATTTTCAATTCCCAAGATATTTTAATTAGGATAGTAGTGTCCAGTTCGATCGAAGTTGCTGCAAATGACATTATTTCAATCCTTTTTTATGGCTGAGTAGTACTCCATGGTGTATATGCACACATTTTCTTTATCCATTCATGAATTGATGACCACTTAGATTGGATCCACATCTTTGAAATTGTTAATTGTGCTGCAGTAAACATTTGGGTTCAGGTGTCTTTTTCATAAAATGACTTTTTTTTCTCTCTGGGTAAATACCCAGTAGTGGGATTGAAACGGGATCCATATCTCTCACCACTCACAAAAATTAGTTCAACATGTGGTTTTATTTTGCATTTACCTAACAATTAGGGATGTTGAGCATTTTTTTCATGTTTATTGGCCTTTTATATATCTTATTTTGAAAAGTTTCTCTTCGTGTTTTTTGCCCACTTTGTAATGGCATTGTTTGATTTTCTCTTGCTGATTTGCTTGAGTTCTTTATAAATTCTGGTTATTATTCCTTTATTGGATGTACACCTTGCAAATATATTTTCTCCCATTCTTTAAGTTGTATCTTTGTTTTGTTGATTATTTCCTTGGCTATGCAAAGCTTTTTAATTTGATCATTTCTCATTTATTTATTTTTGTTGTATCTGTGATTGCCATTGGGGTCTTCTTCATAAATTCTTTGCTTAGGCCAATACCTAGAAGAGTTATTTCCCAGAATTTTCTTCTAGAGTTCTTAAAGCTTCTTCAACATTCACACATCCTAAAGAAATGACCATGTTTTGCTTAGCAAAGTTTTCATGATTATAGCCAGAAATATGTCAATCACACCAAATTCCTAATTATGTCATTAAAGGCTCAAAAGATCGCAAATATAAATGAAGGCCAAAACAATGTGTATTTACTTTGTTCAAAATCCAGTGACCCAAGGTTATGGGCTATTGGTTGGTAAAGCCATGAAACCTCATTTAAGTCCATGTGCTTTATATGGTGTATATCCTTTCTCAGGAAGTTTTAATGAAACAGTTTATAAAAGGAAATGTGAAATAACCTAGAATGTACAACTAATTTATATTTACTAAATCTATAGAGATGAGGTTATTTTATTAAATTTATATGCATTATGATTCCTTGATTTATTTCTACATTCTGTTTACAGTATATTACATTCTAATGCAAGTATCTTCTGAAGTTTATAAAACAAAATGTAGAATCTGGGTGTGTGCAATATTCAGAATATTTAAACTCAATAAATTACTCTCTGTATCTCCTTTCCATTTTTATAATGCACTCTTTATACATACATGAAAAGTCAAGGAAACAAAAATATCATTTAGCAAGGAGCAGAGAAGTTTTCTCTACTATAAAGCTCCAAGGGGGATAAATGGGCTGAAAGTGTAGTGTCAGGAAAGGGAGAGGTTGGTTAAGGAATACAAAATTACAGCTAGATAGGAGGAATGAATTCTAGTGTTCTATAGAGCTGTAAGATGACTATAGTTAATAATAATTCATTGTGTATTTTCGAATAGCTAGAAGAGACGCTTTCGAATGTCCCCAATACAAAGAAATGATAAATGTTTGAGATGACATGCTAATTATTATGATTTTATCATTACACATTAATATACATGTATCAAAATATCATTCCATACCACATAAATATGTACAATTATTACAGACCAATTAAAACTTTCAAAAAAAATATAAGGACAAGTAGCAAAGTGATTACCATATGTGTTAAGATGGTGGTTACTTGGGAGGGGAGATTGATGTAAGAGGGGATAATGATTAAGATAGGAGACAAAGAAGGGGGATGGGAGGTTGAAGGGTATCATTCTAATTCTTAAACTGTGTATTGGTTGCAATTGTGTTCATTTTATGAGAAATCACTGAGCAGGTTTTTTTTGTTTTGGTTTCTGAGGATGGGAGGTAGGTAAGAGTGATAGGTACACATTTGGATATGTGTATTATTTTTATTTAATAAAAGTTTAACAATAAATGAGAAAAACAAAAATGGTAAATCTGAATAAATATCTACACTTGTAGAAGCTGAATTATCCCAGGTGGCTTTATTTTTATGTTTTGCAGTGATAAACCTAATTTACAACTAACCAAGAGGGAAGCCAGTCTGAATACGCTACAATAGAGAAATATAAAAATTTAAAATAAAGGAAATATAATTTTCTGCCTTAAAAATGCATGTTGTAATGATAACAAAACTAATAAAGTAAACTATAGAAGTTATTAAGAGGTCTTCTTTTATTAAATAGATAAGAATACAAGCATGATTTTAACTAGCATATCAGTACAATTAAATATATACTTGTAAATTACTTGAAACATTTGTTAAAAACAGTTTAAATCTTCATAAAATTTTATTTATATTATCTAATTTGTTAATAAACTATTTAAATATATGAATGTAATCATTAGTTTGACTTAGTTACTTTTTAAAAAATCAAATAAACACAATCTGTATTCATCAGCTCATATTATTGGTTCCTAGAATATTAGCCACATTTATTTTCACTGGTGAGTTCAACATTAAATCTCAACAAATTATAATTCCAACATTAAATTTCAAGAAAGTATAAGTTAATTTTTGACTATGTCCACCATACTCCTGTTAATGTGGATAAGCAAAGATGAATAATTCTATTATTTATTTAGTGTTCTGATGCTTTTAGTTACTCAAAGCTTAGCAATAATTTATGTTATTATATTCATTTATTTCTTCCATGATATAATACATTATATTATTTTATTCATGGATCTTCTACTTATTTCTCTTTAAATAGATCTAAGATAATGGCAGCAGCATTTTACTAAGATATATACCTGAGAAATTCTGGATTTCTTTTTTGTATTATTTTGTTTTGTTTTTATTACAGTTATGAAGCAGTTTTCCCAAAAGTTTGTGTCCTGCCAAAATATTTCACTTATATCTACTATCTAATTGATAAAATCCCAAATATTAAAGCAGTCACAAATCAGAAGACATTTTTTATCTCAGTTAAATTAAGTCTATATTAGTTATTATTGTAACAAGTGGTAAATAAGCTTTCATGTATACACTCTTGTTATATCTGCATATTTAATAAGATCTCTTTTGTTAAATATTGTACTTAAGCATTTTTGTAAAGATCTACAAAAATTTGTCCCTTCTAATCTTCCTTAACTAAAGATGCTGAATTTAAGATGGATTTTTGGATAAAAATGCAAATGGTTTATTGATAATGACAAAAGGGCCATAAACAATCCTATGCAAGTAGAATTGTATAGTTATTTTTACAAGGAGTCCATATTTTTCTTGACATGTCTACCTATTTTATTTCTTTCTCAGGGTTGGATTATAGTTTTCTGGTATATGGAGAAAAATTTGAAAGAGCAGAAATCAACGGGGAAAGGCTACTTAACATCACCCGGCAAAGACTTAACAGACTTGGCATAATCCAGATTGACCACCAGGATAAAATCTTAAAAGCTGTCACAAATATTTATAAAAAGGTGAGTAGAGAGGTGTCTTTCTATATTGACTTTCTAGTTAACAAAACAATTAATTAAAGGTAAGAAATGTGCTTCTGTCTGCTACATGATCTACATTAAAATTACAGCATTTTGCCTTTTTGATTCAAAAGTAATTATGATTGATATCATTTCTGATTACTATCTTTAAGAATTCTGGTGGGCCCCTCTCATTCTCACTTATATTTTGGCCCTGTCTGAAGTGGTTGCTATTTCCTGCTCTGCCTTAGAGATGATGTGTCCCATAACTTTTGGGAAAACTCAAGGATATTCTGCGTAAAGTCACTTCTTCCAAGAAATGAAAATTAGGAATGGAAGTTCTAGGAAATTAGCTTACAAATTCCTATAAAATCAAGGGAAATATGGGGCTTCTATATCTCCTAAGGATAAAAAAAGAAAGGAAATAATGGTGAGGGAATAAAAAGAATGATGAGAAACTTATCAAGGCTACACACATTGTTCCAGACAGCTATATCTGCACCTAGAAAAAGAGATACTCTTTTATAATAGCCAACTCAACCCCAAACTCAATAATACATACCACATAAGGGCAAAACTTGAAGTATTTAACAAAGATTAAAAACTTGGAGTTTTTCATTGTTTATATCTTGCAATTACACTAAAATCCATCCATTCAACAAAGCTTAATTGAAGGCTTCTAACTACTTGAGTAATTCAAGCAATACCATATGACTAATTGTGTCTAATAAGTTTCATTTCTCACAGTTTTGTTTGATAGTTTAAAAACTATTAGAAACTATTTTGTTTCTAATAGATGTTGAAGTATTCTAATATGCCATATCTTTTTTAGATGAATTTTATCTTTCCACTTTTTTGTAAGAGCACTGTACTCTTTTTTAAAATAAAGTCTATATGTATCTTTTTTATTTTCCTTTCTTTTCTAGTTGGACTTTACAAGAATGTGGCAGTACATATATTTGATTACACTTTGTATCCCATTCAACTATTAACTATCAAACACCATGAGAATCCTTGCACACTGCCTTAACAAAATAACTGTATCAGTCATAGAGTGCTCAGTTTTAACAACAGTCACCTAGACCATTTAGGCACCAGTTTATTCATGTAAAAATTACAGTGGAGACTATTGATTAGATCAGGAGCTCACACAGAGCTCCCCACAGAGTAGCCTACAACTTAAAAATATCTGTAGGGCGAAACTGTAACAATATCAATTTCTCTCAACTTACCAGACACTCTCTAAAATAATTTGGTATCAAAATTCAGTAGTTCCTTAAATAATCTCATAAATTAATCCTTGTGATTATGCTATCATATTACCCATCATCAGGGGTGTATTTATGTTTAAAATGAGCTCTTTTCAATGAAAGGAAAACAGATACAATGCATGAATTAGTTTTTATGTCAAGTTTATTGAGGTATACTAGAAACTTAAGATGCTAAAAACCTGTATCCTCTATATATTTTGTGGCCATGTTTATCTTGTCTGGTATTTATCTGACTAAAGATACTTTGCCTAAGTATCCAAGGCTATAAAACATATTTTGCTGAATTTTGTTACCACTGGTAAGATGTACCATTATTTAATTTAAAACTAAGAATTTTAAAAAAATGATATCAGTCATAATCTCCCAATGCTTTCTTACCATGTGGATAAGAAATCACATCCTGATCTTAGAATTTTCTTTTTTTTCTTTTTTTCTTAGTTCAGTATATTTGGAGGATACAAATGTTTAAGTTATGTATAATGCCCTTGCCCCACCAGATTCAGAGCTTCAAATGTGTCCATCCCCCAGAAGGTTCACACCACACCCATTAGTTGTGTATATATCCATCCACTCCTCCCCATCCTATCTGCCCAAAACCCAATGAATGTTACTACTATATATGCACTTAAGTGTTGATCAGTTAACCAATTTACTGGTGAGTACATGAGGTGCTTGTTTTTTCATTCATGGGATACTTCACTTAGTAGAATATCCAGCTCTATCCAGGATAATACAAGAAGTGCTAGATCACCATTGTTTTTTGTAGTTGAGTAGAACTCCATGGTATACATACACCACATTTTATGACTCCACTCATGTATTGATGGGCACTTGGGGTATTTCCACATCTTTGCAATTGTGAATTGTGCTGCTATCAACATTCTAGTGCAGATGTCTTTTTTATAGAATGTCCTTTCTTCTATTGGGTAAATACCCAGTAATGGGATTGCTGGATCAAAGGGTAGGTCTACTTTTATCTCTTTGGGGTATCTCCATATTGCTTTCCACAGAGGTTATACTAGATTGCAGTCACCCACGAGTGTATGAGTGTTTCTATCTCTCTGCAACAACGCCAGTATTTGATCTTTTGAGACTTTTTGATAAAGGCCATTCTCACTGGAGAAAAGTGATATCTCCTTATGGTTTTGATTTGCATTCCCCTAGTGATTAGAGATGTTGAGCATTTTTTCATGTTTATTAGCCATGAGTCTGTCTTCTTTTGAAAAGTTCTGTTCATGTCCTTTGCCTGCTTTTTGATAGAGTTGTTTGATTTTTTCTTTCTGATTTTCCTAAATTTTATATAGATACTAGTTAACAGCCTATTATCACATATGTAACATGGAAATATTTTTTCCCATTCTATAGGTTGTCTGTTTGTTCTCGTGATAGTTTTCTTGGCTGCTCAGAAGCTTTTTAATTTGATCAGACCCATGTATTTATTTTTATTGTTGCTTTGATTGCCTTTGAGAACTACGTCATAGATTCTTTGCCTAGGCCAATGTCTATAAGAGTTTTTCCAACATTTTTTTCTAGAATTTTTAGTTTCACAATTTAGGTTCAAGTCTGTTATCCACCTATGAGTTGATTTTTGTGAGAGGTGAAAAGTACAGTCATTTACAGTCTTCTACATGTGGCAATCCAGTTTTCCCAGCACCATTTATTTAATAAGGATTCTTTTCTCCAGTGTATGTTTTTGTCTGCTTTGTCAAAGATTAGATGGCTGTTGAAGATGGTTTTATATCTGAGTTCTCAGTTCTATATCATTGGCATATGTCTCTGTTCTTGTGCCAATACCATGCTGTTTTAGTTATTATAGCTTAATAGTATAGCTTCAAGTTTGGTAAATTGATGCCTCCCAATGTGTTATTTTTGCTTAAGATTGCTTTTTCTGTATGGGATATTTTCTGTTTCCATAAGAAGTGTAGAATTATTTTCTCTGGATCTGTGAAAAATGATATTGGTATTTTAGTAGGGATTGCATTGAAACTGTAGATCATTTTATGTAGTATAGACATTTTTTAACAATGTTGATTCTGCTGACCCATGACCAAGGTATGCTTTTCCACCTTTGTTACGTCCTCTGCTATTTTCATCCTCAGTATTGCATAGTTCTCCCTGTAGATGTCTTTTACCTCCTTAGTTAAATATATTGCTAGATATTTTATTTTCTTTGTTGCTATTGTTAAGGGTATTGAGTCTTTGATTTGGTCTCAGATTGACTGTTGTTGGAATATAGCATTGCTACTGATTTCTCTACATTGATTTTGTAACTTGAGACTTTACTGAATTTGTTTATCCATTCCAGTAGTCTCGTGGCAGAAGGTGAGTCTCATCTATGCCTATTTTGTTAAGGATTTCTTATAATAAAAGGGTGTTACGTTTTGTCAAATGCTTTTTCTGGGTCTATTGAGAGGATCACATGGTCTTTGTTTTTGCTTCTATTTATGTTGTGAATTATGTTTATAGGTTTGCTTATGTTGAACCATGCCTGCATTTCTGATATGAAGTCCACTTGGTAGTTATAGATTATTTTTTTGATAAGCATGTGAATTTCTTTTGCTAGGATTTTGTTGAGAAGTTTTGCATCTATATTCATAAGGGATATTGGTCTGTAGTGTTCTTTTTTGTTGTGTTATTTCCTGGTTCTGTTATCAGGGTGATATTGGCTTAATAAAATGTGTTGGAGGGGGTTCCTTTCTTCTTGATGCTGTGGAATAATTTCTGCAGGATAGGCACCAGTTCTTTGTAGGTCTGGTAAAATTCAGGTGTGAAACCATCTGGTCCAGGACATTTCTTTTTATAAAGGTTTTTTTGGGGGCTTCAATTTCAGCACTTGATATTGGTCTGTTCAGGAATTCTATTTCATTGTGATTGACCCTAGGGAGGCTTTGTGTTTCTAAGAATTTTTCCATTTCCTCCACATTTTCCAGTTTATGTGTATAGAGGTTTTTTTTTATTTTATTTATTTTTTTATTTTGGCATATTATGGGGGTACAGATTTTAAGGTTTCAATAAATGCCCATTTCCCCCCCTCCCCCGAAAAGTCTGAGTCTCCATCATGACCATACCCCAGATGTGCACATCTCACTCATTCATGTATGTAGTATACCCGCCCTCCCCCCCTCCAGCCTGCCCAATACCCTATTACTGCAGCACCTATGTGTACTTTACGTGCCACTCAGTTTAATACAGTTTGCTGGAGAATATATCTGGTGCTTGTTTTTCCATTCTTGGGATACTTCACTTAGTAGTATGGGTTCCAGCTCTAACCAGGAAAATATAAGATGTGCTATATCACCGTTGTTTCTTAGAGCTGAATAGTACCTCCTATGGTATACATATACCACGATTTTATTAATCCATTCTTGGATTGATGGGCACTTGGCTGTTCCACAGCTTGCAATTATGAATTGTGCTGCTATAAACATTCGAGTGCAGGTGTCTTTTTCGTAGAGTGTCACTGGATCATTTGGGTAGATGCCAGCAATGGATTGCTGGATCAAATGGTAGATTCACTTGGATCGCTTTAAGGTATCTCCATATTGCTTTCCACAGAGGTTGAACTACTTTGCAGTCCCACCAGCAGTGTAGGAGTGTTCCTCTCTCTCCGCAACCACGCCAGCATTTATTGTTTGGAGATTTTTTGATAAAGGCCATTCTCACTGGGGTTAAGTGATATCTCATTGTGGTTTTGATTTGCATTTCCCTGATGATTAGAGATGTTGAGCATTT